CTTTGCCGTGTAAACGACGCAACTAACCTACGTATGCTTCCAGACCTTCAAATAGTCCTCAGTCTGTTGCAATCGTGGTTGAATACGTTTGCCGTGTAAACGACGCAACTAACCTACGTATGCTTCCAGACCTTCAAATAGTCCTCAGTGACTGGCCTCTTGAATTCTGCTTACGTGGCTCAGCTTTCTGATGGATCAAATCTGCAGCAGAATTCTTCCACAGTTGAGTTATCTTTACACAAGCGATCCTAATTTAAATGTTTTACGGCATCCAAGGTCAGTTCCTTCAAGCTACCGTAATGTGCACCTTGGTTTAACATCCAAATATTCTACATAGTCATCACCCTAAAACGCCTCAGGAACCAATCCAAGTCCTTTTTTTGCAACACCTTTGTATGATGATGGATTGATTCTATCGTGCAGATCATTGAGGGCAGCCAACATGGTGCCGTGTCATAGTAATAATATATTCTAAACGACCAGTTGGAAAACGTCGCAATGAGCAACACATCCTACTTTACCTTCTTTCACCAAAAGTCACACGGTGTTGTCTCAAATGGTTTATGATCTGTATTGTCCCTGCGAACTGGAAAATTGAACTCCCCTATTTATCTAACCATTGAATTACTGAGTATATACACCAATAACGAGTTTGGTGGTGCTGGGTTCGCGCTGTAAGATTGATGACGGGGTGTTAAATCGGCCAGCTTCATAGCCAATACAAAACCCGTCTGACCATTTATGAGATGAATACAGTCGTCTCCTTTCTCGTGCACCTACAACTGGAGATATAAGCACTTTTTTGTGAAAAATAAAGCCAATCTGTAAGAGCACCCCGACGGCATTTGAGTGTCGTCCATGCTGAAAGTGGTCCAACAAACGTATATCAAAACATGTATGTTACGTAGCAGAACTATCCCACATTTTTTCAAGGACGCTATATATATTCACACAATTGTGGCATTGTGCGTGTGTCCATGTATGTATGTATATATAAAGTATCCGTACTATTACTTCGCAAATTTCAACGGTCATGGTTGTAGCAATAACAACAAGACGATGCCCCCCCCCCATGGCTCACCGGTGAGTCTGAAAAGTTATAACGCTAAAAATCGGCTATCGATACTCATGGTGAGCACAGATAGGCCATTGTATAGCTTTCTGCCTAATTAAAACAAACAAACAAACACTCAAACAAGAAGGAGGCACTTTAGTTCCTCATTTATTCGGCAGGTGTCTCTTATGGACCTTAGCAGCAGTTTATCGTTAAGTTTGTTTGTTTAATTGATTGTAATTAAGCACAAAGCTGCACAATTAGCTCTCTGTGCTCTGCCAACCACGGGTATCGAAACCCAGATTCTAGCGTTGTAAGTCTGCAGACATACCGCTGGCCACTGGGGGGCGTTATCGTTAAGCTCGCTTATAATCATGATTTACTTATTTATTGTCGCACACATGTAACTTTCAATTAATTTTTCAACAGTTCACATAAAATACATTGATTGAATAATGTGACTTTATTAGGACTTATATATGTGTACAAAATGTTTTTTTATTTTTGTAGAAACACGATCGTAATTACTCTTTCTTGTAGAAAATAATTTGTTTTGCTGGCATTTTTTTATATACGATCGATAAAACAGTAGTCTTGATGTATCTATATTTGATTAAGTGGTTTGATTATTTTTATAATAAATAGTTTACTATTATATAAACGTATTAATATACTTACAAAATACAGGATGCTGATTATCATGGCCCACTGACCTGTTAAAAGAGTAAAATAAAGAACACCAAGATAAAGTCACTACTTCCTCACTTCCATTAAAAAACCCAAAACAAAACCTTGTTCTTTGCTCGTGGTGCCCGGCATGGCCAGGTGGGTAGGGCGTTCGACACGCAATCTGAGAGACGCGGG